ATTTCTACGTATTACAACAATATATATAATATACATTTGTAGCAGAAAGCAATAATAATAAACATAAATATTTAACTATTACACAATCAATTCTCATAATGTCCACAATCATTAAGTTTTATAACAAATGTTAATTAATCTGAACATCCAAAAACAGTAATTCTTAATTGTTGGTGGCTAAAATGGCATCACATATTCCGCACACTATACACTTTCCAATTTTCATTATTATCACTCTAGCTTCTTTCAAAAATTTATTATCACTCTAGCTAATTGCGAGACAGTTTGAGTGACTGACGTTTAAATTGAGTTGAAAAAAAAAAAAAAAAAAAAAAAAAAACTGTATTGTACCAGAATATAGACGGTGGTGGAAACGACGATGGTCTTGAACCGACCAATGTAGGAATCGGCGAGAAAAGCGCCGATAATCGGGAAAAGAGCGGAAACGCCGAGAAAAGTGTTCACATTCCTGGCGGCGGTGGCGGTCGGCTGGCCGAGGACGGTGGTGAGGTAGGTTATGAGGTTTCCGGCGACGCCGTAGTAGGAGAATCTCTCCGCCATCTCCACAACTGCAATAAACAAAAAATAAATTAAAACTGAACTAATTTCGCAGAATTGCATAGCTATTGTATAATATATACGAAGCTAGCTAGGATCAGAAGGTGGAGCTTACAGATGATGAAAATGGCGGATTTCCAACCGCCTTTGCGGTCCATCTGTCCTCCGTCGCCATTAGAAATGGGCGCGATGGGAGAGATTGGTAATAGCAGCTGGGAATCCATGGTAGTAATAATGAGTGTTACCGGTTTTCTAAACTAGCTAGCAAATTCATTTTATAGCAAATAATGGGGTGGTGAAGTGGAATCTTGTGCTTCGATCCTTCATTGAATATGATCTACTCCGTATCATTTTTCTCCAAATAAGAATTTTTTAAATCTTATTTCCATTTTTGGATAGAATTTTAATCTTATTTCCACATAAAGATTATTTTTTCGATTATGTTTTAGTACTTTTATGTCCTCGTATGGTATGTTTAATTTGTCACACCACTTCATCATACACCCATATAATAATTTTAACCAAATTACTTTTATATATATATATATATATATATATATATATATATATATATATATAATTTTTGTGTTGTTATTGTCACGTTATATATTCTTGTTACATTGCAGCCTTGTCATACACTTGCATAATAATTATGACCATATTATTTTTATGTTGTTATTATCACATCGTACTTTTTTTTTTTTTTCATTGGATCCTTGTCATACACTTGCATAATAATCATGTCCATATCATTATTATAGTGTTTTTATGTAGTTGTCACATTATATATATCTTGTCAGATTACAACCTTGTAAGTTTAAAATGATATACTTTAATAGCTTTTTTCATATATTCATCTTTCAAAATTGTTGCCTCGTAAGTTTAAAATTGTATACTTTAATAGCTTTACATGTCACTAATTGATTAGATACTTTAGTCTTTCATTAATAGTGGGTGGAGTCGGTTAATTTCTGCGCACTTAATGATTATAAATCATGTTATGAGGGAATTTAAGAAGAAAAATAATATAAGGGGTAGAAAGCATTTTCTTTAAGAATGAATTGTAATGGGGTTATTTTAAATAAAATAATAAAAATGCTATTTAATATTATAGTATAATGGTGAATTTTTTGTTTATTAGTTTGAATTTTTTTTTAGTACTATTAACTCTGTTACAATGCAATGCCAGTCAATATCACCTTTACTGAAGTTCAAACTCACAACTTCTTATATGAGAGAGCAATTTTGTGTCATTAGATCATAAGTTCCTTGGCTAGCTATATATATATATATATATATATATATTTGAAAGTAATAATAGTGGTGTATTAATGGATAAACTGAGCAATAGAGTCAGGAGGGACAGAGTCCCAGTACATAGGTTCTTCCTGATCGAAAGCTAACGAAGCTAAAGTATGAGCATGAAAATTAAGTATTCTAGAAATATAACTTAAAGAACAATGTGTAAATAATGATATGGTTGTCTTACATTGATTCACAATGATCTCAATATAGGACAAATTAGCCGTTGGGCCTGAGTATAATGCATTCCGCAGCTCTGAGCAGTCTGTTAAAAGATCTACCATCCCGATATCCCGATCCTTAAGCCAAGACAGCGCCTCTTTGCAAGCAAGTGCCTCCGTCATAACGGCCGATAGTTCCTTGGCTATATATAAGTTACTTGAATACAATAATTCATGAATAGTGTCAAGTGGTGGACAAAAATGGATAAAAAGTGAGATAATTATTTTTAACATTTGTCCCACTCCCATTTTTACTGTCCCGTTAATAGTGTTATGAGTATATTTAACATTTGCTAAAATTAATCTGTTTTTTGTTTGTTTTTTCAATTAAAAGTTTAAATAATATAACTTCATCAAATATATTACGGAGTATTTTTTTTTTTAATGCTATTACGGAGTATATTATTAATATTAAAGAAATCCTGAAATCCTCATTAAATTATTAGTAATCAATTCTTTAAATGAGTTAATATCAGTTCCTTCAAGTATGGTGTTCATATCAAGTTTACTTCTTAACTTTTAAATTGAGCATTTTGGTCCATTAAATTGCGATAATAATCAATTAGAGATAAATTCAATCAAATAACATCACATTAATGTACAAATATTAGGCTATCTTCATGTTATAATTATTCCCGCAAAATCATCCATTGCAACTTGACATGGAGAGAGAATTTTTTTTTTTTTTTAAATATATATGGCATAGGTTGCAAACTCGCAACCTTGACAAAATGTTGTCGCGGCAACTGTGACAACCTTTTGTACTTCTTTTTTATTTATTTTGTTTTCATATGATGTGAATGTGAGGTCTCTTTTGAAATTGAGAGAGTATTACAAAAATATAGAAAAAAAAATTATGAATTTGGTGATATGAAAGTATGACACGCTTTTAAAAGTAAGAGAATTGTTGGCATAAGTAATTAATGTCACTATTTATTGATTTTTTTTTAGAGAATGATGTGGCTTGAAATCCTTGCAAGTAAAGTGTGGCAAAAGTACAATGTCATGTGTGGAGAGATAATTTTGGTCATTTTTAAATCATGTTTAATAATTTAAATAATAATAATATTGATGAAATATACTAGTTTTTTAATGTGATTTGAAATGTGTATCCACTTTTGAAAATGAGTCGTAATTTCATTAATGTAAAGAAATAGTGAACGGATTGCAAATTTGATGTGTAGCGGTATAACCCACTTTTAAAAGTGCGAGAGTATTAGCTGTGGTAAAATTTCAGGGTTGAGGATAGCCTTAAGATGAATGTGATGTCACTTTTAATCGAATACGAAAACAATCAATCATATATTGTCATACAAGGAGGTGAATATTAAGAGAAAAAAATCAAGGGAATGGGGAATTTAGATTCATTTTGAGAATACAAAGGGTGTGTTTGGTTGGTGGGTTTTGCCCATAAGAATGGGTATGAAAGTGATTGTTGTTGTTTGCTTGATAGGTTTTTAGAACACTACTATGAGTTTCGAATACCCCATCAATTGAAAAACTCATACCCAAATACAATAAGGGTTTCATTCTCTTATTCATTTTCAAGCACTACTATTAGTAACCATTCTCATTCCACCCTACTACCAAACATGTTAAATACTTTCACCAAAATCCATTATCATTACCAAGTATTTGATACCCATTCCGATTCCGATTCCTATGTGCGAACCAAACACATCCAAAGTTTTATTGTCGCATTATGATATAAACTTATAATGAAACATAGGAGAAAGGTAATCGGTATAGAGTGTATTTATGGATAAACATTATAAGGGTAAATTAGTAAAAGAGACAATTGTAGTAATAATATTGACGAGGTGTTTGGTTGGATGTAGTTGGAATTTATTTTCAACTATATTCAACGACAAGACAAATTACAAAAAATACTTTATGGATTACCAAAAACCTACTCATAACTTTTATTCCAACTTGTGTTCAAATTTGATTGGAAGAAGAAAAAAGGAATGGATAAACATCACGACACCTATTAAATTAAGCAATCAAAGCATGCCATGTCATAAGGAGTGAAAAATGTGAATAGAAATTGAGAGTCCATGTAGAATTACTCACAAATTACAGTGGTTGGTCACTCTCGCCAAATCTCAGTGGAAAATAGTAATAGGCTGGTAAATTAATGAGAGTATTTTTGTCATTTTACTTCTATTTTCTTTCTTTCCCGACCCGACCTTTTTCTTCAACCCTGAACTCTGGGTTCCCAGACCACATGTCTCCATCATTGGACCATTTTCAATATCTCCATCAACATATATATGATGATGATCATATGAGAACCACCATCCGCATGAATACATGAAAACCAATATGGTATATAAAAAAATATATATCTATGGATGAGATTAATTTGATATATTCAACATTCACTACAAGAAAATTGTTCATTCGTGAGAAGTAAAACCGTCGCTAAAGAGTCAAAACCCATCATGAAAGACTTTTAATGACGGGAAATTTACCGTCGCGACCCGCCGTTATAGCTTCCGCGGTTAAAAATAATTAATGACGGGATATGATACCATCATTAGTGAGCTTATAGTGATAATATATTTACCGTCACTAAAATGTTCTTTTTGTGACAAAGAATCCCGTCATTAATAAAATTATTCACTAACATAATTTCTTCTCATCTATTCTTTTAATGATGAAGAATCCCGTTATTAATATTGTTATTTACTAACAAAATTTTCTCTCATTATATTAGATTTTGCCTGTCACTAAATATTATATTTTATTATCAAATATTTTTTTAATTTTAATTTGAATAATTGTTGTTGCTCAATCAATATTAACTTTTGTAATACATTTTTTTTATCATAGATATTATGCTATTAACTATAGATATTGTATTAGTACAATTTAAAATTGTAACAATAATGCAATCAAAGTAAACTCATCAATATATTAAAAGACTTCATCAAGGCAGAAAATAATTATAGCTAACAAATAGCCATAATAATGTATCTATTGGCTATTTTGAAAGGTGAGACCGTACAAATAAACATTTTTAGTTTAGACAAAAACTAACCCAAAGCAAAAATGTCCAATCTACTTCAATGCAGTGTTAGGTATGCCATTTTTCATCAATAGCTTTGTCACCTGGTAAATAAAAATAGCCAACAAAAATATGCTCAGTATAATTGAATAAATAATAATTTGTAATTGTGAATTATTGATGTATGTATATATAAATGCCACTATACATATCAAACTGATGCATTGAGACAACTTAATGACATGAAGCTAGTTCCAACACAACATAACACTAACAATTTTAAACAAAAAGCATCAATATTCAAAGCAAAGGAAAAATAAATTTCATATCAATATAAACAAATGAAGTGAACTTACATCATCCAAAAGCACATTGTCAGTAAAAGTTACCTACATTGTAATGCAAAATATAAGAATATTGAAAGAGGATGTAATAACCTTATGCTAATACAAAAATAAATAAATAAATAAATAAACAAATAACTTGATACGCACCTAGATCATTCAAGTCATCTAACAAAAACTTTTCCAAAAGTCACAACTTATATACATACATATACTCGTAAAAGTAATAGAAATTTGTAATTTACCTTAATACTAAAGTCAAAAGAAACAATGTTAATATCTTGAGTTCTAAGCACTCTGCAACAACAAAAATATGGTCATTTGGTACAATGAAATCCAAAAATAATATAAGTTAGTTACTCCATAAAAGGTTGATCTCGATAGGGGAAAGATTCGATGAAACTGTCCTTCAAGAGCAATGATACCTAATAGAGGAAATATTTAGGTAAGCAGGAGACTGCACATCTACAAACCACTGAAAATCCTGCAAAATGTGCACTAATTGAAGCAGAGAACAGAATTAGCATAACTAGAGACAGGAGCAACTAACATTTCTTACTGTTTTTCTCTTCAAAAAATCATTATTGTACTGACCTTGAACATGAAAGAGTGATATAATTTTAATCATTCAGTTCTATGCCTTATGTATTCTAAACTAATTACCAACATCAACGAGAGGCAATAGTGGCAATATAGAAACAACTAAAATGAATCACAAAAATTAAGAATATAAACTATAACAAATAAAGGAATTAAAAACCAGATTATGTTGTTAAATATAATGGGGAAAAATGTAAAAAATCGTCAATTAATGCCTAAAAGTAATCACTGTTCAGCACCTACACGATCAAACATACCCTGTGGCTTTGGCACAACATGTGGGCTCCATATATAGCCAGTAGGTAGGTGAGATATTGATCCATGGTATGTACTGAAATATGCAATTGGAGTAAGATTAAGCTTCTTTTTTCAGAAGTCACTGATGTAACTTCTTATACCCCACCCTATCAGCAAGTCCACTAGTATATAAAAAAGCTGGATTAAGTAGTGAAATGTTAGGCAACAAATAGCAGAATTTAGAGAACTCATAAACAATTTTTTTTAATACAGAAGACTGATATGCAGTGAAATGTTAGGCAACAAATAGTAGAATTTAGAGAACTCAAACAATTTTTTTAATGCAGAAGACTGGAATTTTATCCAGAACCCAGCACTCTGAGGTACATGAGCCAATGGATGAAGAAATTCAGACGTCGGCCTGCCTATTAAAGAAACATGTAAGGCATCATCTTAAAAAGTGTAAGTTCAAGGCAGAGAAAATAAATGAAATGATCCACATGATATATAAGTAAATATAGGGTTGAAGGCTAATGAAACACACTGTCCCCTCTCATCCCATTCCCCAAGGGCATTGCCAAAGGATTCCCATACACATTACACCTTGCTACCTTGAGGCCTTGAATTTTCTGGTCAAAAGTGTCATAAAGATGAGCCAGTTCAGCAGCTTCATATCTATTAATCAAATAGAAAATGTGGCATTTAAAATACTCATGAAATTGCATGCACAAAGCATCTTTTTGTTTCCGCAACTCCAAACACTACTACCTAATACTCTTCAATGACATCTTTCAGAAAACAGTTAATCAAATGCTGAATACTATTAAGCCACAACTTGGTGTAGACATAAACTATTAAGCCACAACTTGGTATAGATGTCAAATAGTGATTTATTAGTAAGTACACCAACGATTCTAGAGCATAGTAGTGAATATTTAAAGATAAAAATCAACTAGAATCTAAAGAAGCTGAGGAACTAAAGTTAGCAAGAGTTAGTACCATATGCAGGAGGATTTGCAATAATTGCTTGGTGAGGGACTTTCCAGATTGCACCTTTGGGCTTAATAACCATGATACTTTGTCTGTTTCCAAATTAAAATCTCTACTACAAAATACAATAATTGCATTTTCATGATTTACAACAGAACTGACAAATAATAAATTGGGTAATTGAAATCAGGATCACAACCACTTTAGACACTAACTTAAACACAAACATAAAATAAAATACATGCAAGTCAAGGAGCTCTTACATTCTGATAAAACCCGAGGGTCACCACCCAAAGGATAGAATTCTACAACTGCTGATTTCACAAAATCATGGAACTTGATAACTTTATATGAGTTGTAAGCTTAACACGATGACCAAACTCCTGTTAACAAACATCAGAGGTAAATAAAAATGAAAGCAAGGAATGCAGATGACCCAACATGGGACAAACAATCTTAAGAAATATAATAGACTATCATCAAATCATAGTAAAGGAGTACTCTCATTGTATGAAAAACTGCCATACTCATTATTTTGGATATCAAAAAACTGTAATGTAACATAAATCTGATCAATTGAAGTTTCAATTGTCAAATTTTTTTAAAAAATAACAAATATAGATAACAAGAAATACTTACCGGCTGTGGGCGAACTGGTCGGCGGCTATCGCAGGGGAGGCGAAACCCTCTTCGTCGGTCGTCATCAGCAGCTGCTTCGTCGCCCGTCGGATTCGTCAGCATATAGAAACACAGCCAAAAAAATTAGAAAATAAGATAATAAGAAACACTTACCGGCGGTGGACGAATTGGTCGGCGGCTATCGCAGGGGAGGCTGAGCCCTCGTCGGCGGCTATCGCAGGGGAGGCGGAGCCCTCGTCAGCAGGTTCGTCGCCCTTTGTCGGCTTTGCCTGGAATCGCCTGGACTACTGGAGGAAGCGAGAAGAAGACAAGACTTGGAGACTTGAGGGTTTCAATTTTTTTTAGAAGCAGATTAGAATTGGGCGCCCAAATATAAGGTTTTGGTGGGAATGAAATTTTAGTGGAATAATTTTCACATATCAATAGTGAGGGTAATAACATCTTTTGATCAATAGCGAGAGTATACTTTTTAAATAAATATAAAAATAAAAATAAAATTTCGTCATTAAATTATAAACATTTAGCTAGAGTAATTTTTAACTCTCACCAAAACTATGCAAATGATACATTTAGTGAGAGGTTTTTCTACCCGTCACTAATTTTTTGTCGCTAAAAATTGTTTTTCTTGTAGTAATTCGCATGTGCATATAGGGCATGTGTTGTGTGCATAATTAGTCATGTGTGCATATTAAGCATGTGTTGTGTGCAAATATAGGATTTGCACACAACACATGCTCCATATGCACACGTGAATGTTGAATTCACCCAACAGAACTCATCTAAAGCTCTATTTTTTAATGCACTATATTGGTTATCATGTACTCATGGGAATGGTGATTCTCATATGATCACCCATATATATTTACTAAAGCCCTACCTGGTCCTAGATTATTTTTTCTTAGAGACAAGCTACAGGTCACTACTGTACTTTGTGTTTGGGGGGGAGTATTAGGACTCTATGTATTTGAGTTAGATTATGTTTCTGTATCCCAATCTCCCTGAGACTCTCTCTTTATATATACACTTGTAATATATAGTTTTGTAATTACATTACTCAATACAATTCATTTAGTTCTCATCGTAGCGAACAAATACGCTTTAAAAAAAGAAAGAAGATGAAGTTAAAAACTATAGGGGTGGAATAAGATACTAGAATGAAGCACTTACTCGATTAGAGCTGAGATTTTAATGAAATTTAGTTCGGTTTTTGAAATACAAGTGTGATGCTTGATTATTTAAATATTTATAAAATTGTAGACGTATACACATGAGATACTCGTCATATAATTAAAGTCAGTAATGATGTCAATACAACAAAGAGTAGCAAGTGTAGCTAATTTGGATCATGCTCTCATACAACTATAACTAGACGCTTGCCTTATCATGTTGTCAAAAAAAGGACACGATTTAAATTAGCTACACCTGTTATTGACATCACTATATGCGGTGTGTTAGGTTTCTGATATCACTGTCTGGGAGTGTGTTCGGTTTTTGTCGCACATTCCAAATATCTTATGTTATTGACATCACTATTTATTTTGTTGCCGCCCTGCAGTCGCACGTTCCAGATATCTTATGCTATTGACATCACTATTTTTTTGTCGTCACCCTACAGTCGCACATTCCAAATATCTTATGCTATTGACATCACTATTTTTTTTGTCGCCGCCCTGCAGCGTTGTGTTAGGTTTTTATCGCTTCCTCTTGCAGACTGTTGACATCACTGTATATAGTGTGTTAGGCTTTTGTCGCACAATCCAGATGTAAATGCGCGAGAGTGAGCTCTATGCTATACTACTATTAAATCTCTTTCTAAAAGGCTCTAATCTTGTATATATAGTGGTGCAAATCCCTTTCTTTTTTTTCGATGTGCGACAAATGTTACTTATAAGCCATTCCACCTCAATTTTCAAACTTAAATGAGTCTACTTTGATAATCAATTTCTCATCCACCCAATATTTGTTGTGAGCATACAATTATATGACTAAACCCAAACCGGAAATAAACCTCACAATATTTGTACCACAAAATATTCACCTACAATGTCATTTTTGCTATTTGTTCCAACAATAGATTCCAACTAGGTTGAATTCATGCATGAACCCCAACGAATCGTTACATATTGATGGAGAAAATAGATTTCTACATAGAAAAAATGAATGATATAAGGTGATAAGGTATTTGCAGGGAATTAGGCAATAAGCATGCAGGACACAAGGATTTAACGTGAAAATCAAAACAGTAAAAATCATGAGCCTTTTTAGACTAAACCAAGCTGGAATTCTTTATTATGTATATTGTAAGCACACGTACATAGGCAGTCATGGCCATTGAGTAGAAGATGAAGATAAGTACGTAAAATAAACATTATTTTGGAATGGAAATGAGTCTGAGATCGTTTGTTTAGTCCCTAAGCCTTTATATAAAGTCATTTATTGACAGTTGCAACTTCTAGTAGCCCTCTATACTTTTTTTGCGTGAACTTCTTCTTCCTTGACTATTGAATAATAATTGTATGATGTGGCAAAGATTTTAATAGTCAGGGATTAAATGTGGCAAAGATTTAAAAGTCGTGAGATCAAATCTGAAAATTTTAATAGTTGGGGATCAAATGTGGTAAGGATTTAAAAGTTGTGGGACCAAATCTGAAAATTTTAATAGTCAGGGACCAAATGTGGCAATGATTTGAAAATGGGAAAATTGTAAAAAACGCCCCTCTATAATATGCCAATTATCAATGTCACCCATGAATTATGAGTGGTGTAAATGTTGCCCCTCAATTATCAAAATGGTGCACATATAGCCCCTCCCGTAACGGACATGTGGTTCCCCACCGCTGTCCATCGCTGGTACTTCGAATCGAGGGACGGAAAAAATAACTAAATTACATATTTACTCCGACTTAACGGTGTCGTACACTAACGGGGAACCACAGGCCCGTTACGGGAGGGGCTATATGTGCACCGTTTTGATAATTGATGGGCAACATTTACACCACTCATAATTCAGGGGTGACATTGATAATTGCCATATTATAGAGGGGCATTTTTTATAATTTTTCCTTTAAAAATCGTGGGACCAAATCTAAAAATTTTGATAGTTAAGGACTAAATGTGGAAATAATATCATACTCGTGGGACCAAAAGTGGAAAAAACTCAAACAAAAAATATTCTAAAATTACACTAAGAGGTGTCCTGAGTGGGACATAATTATAGGAGACACATTTAAATTTGTACTGTACACGGTACACAAACTAATTATTGTTTGTATCAAAACGACCAAATTAAGGATAAAATGCTAATCATATTAGTCTTTTTTTTTTTTTTTTTTTTTTAAAAAGGGTCTTTTGAATTGAAACGCATAATGAATGAGAGTGCACGGTCAACCAGGTTATACTAATTTTCTTGTTTATAAATTATGATTATGATTAACTAGTATTTGTCCCGTGCGATGCACGGAAAATATGTTATAAAAATATACACTATATGAGGTTTATTCATATATAAAATTTTTGTTATTTAATAATTATTATGTGTGAATTCTTATGATAAAATTATGAACATAAATATATTTACAATTAAAATAATATTTAAGGTGGGTGATTACTACAAATCTTAAACTATATTAAAAATTTAGTACATAGTATTTAATATTATAAATTTTTAAGAACTTAGTAAACTACAATAGTAATTGAATTACAATTTTAGAGTCACCACGGATCAAAATTTTTAGACCTTTGAGATTTCTAACTCTAGATGTAGCAACGTACAATTGACCTTTAAAGACCAAAATCACAATCTTAGTTAGAACATTGATTTTTTTCTTCCAAATACTATCGAATTAAGTGTGTAATCAATAAAAGATTGAGAACTAATAATTCGAGAATATAATCTTAATGTTACTAAGCCTACTTCACGTTAATTAAGTTGGAGAGTGTTGTTGGATAGTATCCGATGAATCCACGAATAACGCATCTTTGTCTCCGTCGTCCTCAATATGTACATCAACAATCTTAAATATTAAGCCACATAGCTATGCTATATATTAATTTCAAACTTATGGACTTTGGGGTTGCATGCATGCTTCTTAAAGCCATATGGCTTTCCTTGTTGCTGAGGAACAAGATCTGAATGACTGCCCTTATTGGACTAAAGAAGCTTCAGGGGTTTTCTCGGTAAGCTCCGCTTACAACATCGCGATTGGAGAAGCTCTTCCCATAACAGAGGCAAACTGGGAGAATGTTTGGAAGCTCAAAGTGCCCAACCGCATTCGTTTATTCATCTGGCTCTTGAAACATGATAGGATTATGACAAATCAAAACAGGGCCAAAAGGGGCTTCACGAATTGTGATAAGTGTTGGAGATGTCCTGATACAATTGAAGATTCAGACCATGTGATTCGCAAATGTCCCGTTGCTGCAGAGGTATGGAACGCAATTCTTCCTTCATTGCCTGAGCTATCTAGCAACCTCCCATTCGCCACTTGGTTAGATAAAGGAATCTCAAGAAGACATGATGGCAGAATTCCGATTAGTACAAGCACTATTTTTGCTATTACTGCGTGGTGGATCTGGAAGTGGAGGAACGATGTCATCTTCAACTCTGCCAGCAAACCTCTCCAATTTAAAATTGCCTGGATAAGATCCCAAGTTGAAGAAGTGGCCTCTGCATTTGCAAGAGCTAGGAGACCAGGTGCTACAGAAAATAAGTCCCCTTGGATTAAACTTTGTTGGACTAAACCACAAGAACGCTTTGTAAAGATTAACGTGGATGGCGCTGCTAACCCCACTACATCAAGGGCAGGAAGCAGAGGAGTAATTCGAGATGAAGCTGGAAAATGGATAAATGGCTTTGTGCACAACATTGGCTGCTGCTCACCACCGGAGGTAGAAGCATGGGCTCTACTAAAAGGAATCCAACTTGCAGCACATATGGGTTTCAACAAAGTGCTCTTTGAATGCGACGCTACAATGATACCGGAGTATATGAATAACAGCTCTCCTCCTACTACTGTGATGCACAATATTCTAGAAGCATGCAAAAAAGAACTCCGATGTTTTGAAGTATGGCATGTGGCATCTATTGCCCGGGAACAAAATCAGGTGGCTGACTTCCTAGCCAGAACCTCACACCGATATGCTAAAGGATTCCATAGTATTAGTAATCCACCTGTAGAATTACTAGGACTTTTAGAGGACGATGCATCTTCCATCCCTACTTGGCGTAACACTTGTAACGCATAATCTTTGTTGTTCTTTGGGTTTCCCCCTTCCTTACATATATATATATATATATATATAAAAAAAAAAAGCCATATGGCTTTAAGATGTGAAAATTAAATGTTGCATTTAATTTTCAAATCTTAAAGTAATTTTCACATCTTAAAGCCCATTTAATTTTCACAAGACTTTCACATCTTAAAAGCCATATGGTCTTGTGAAAATTAAATGCAACATTCAATTTTCACAAGACTATATAGCTTTATTATATATAGGATAGGATAGGATAGGGATGGCAATGGGTCGGGTGTGGGTCGGGGAGGGCTACATCCATCACCCGACCCACCTTATATTTTCTCCACCCACCCCCACCTCCAACCCGCATCGGGTGGACTTTTTCTAAATCCACCCCCACCCCCACCGAATTCGGGTCCCCACTACGGGTACCCACCACTTATGATCTTATTATGTTTTTCAAAAAATAATATTTAAATTACTTACACAAAATAAGATAATAAAATTCATTAGTGATACTCAAACATAAAATAATAGAAATATTTAAATATAATAACTAAATTGTTAATTTTTAAAAATAAACTTAATAGTTTAGATATAAAAAATAGTAAAAAGATACACGAACTTATATAAACTTTTATAAATAACTACATACTAGTACTTATTTTACTATTTTATATATACACACACATAATGGGTCGGGTGGGGTTCTAGGCGGGTTTTGTACATAGAATTCGAATTCAACCCGACCCACCATGGGTTTACTTTTTTAAGACCCACCCTCGACCCACCACCCACCATCACCCAAAAAAACCCGATCCATGCGGGATGGATTCGGGTGGATATCCACGGGGCGGATTGAAATTGCCATCCCTAGGATAGGATAGGATGTGATACCCTCTATTTCAATGTTTTTGTTTTGAATGTAATACAGACAAAAAACATATTAATATTACCATTTTGGAAATATAAAAGTTTTCTACAAGCTAGTTGTCAAGTTAACAACAACATTTTCATTGTAATTTTCAGCCATAAAAGCTTACATATGCATTCATACGTCGTTTGTCGTCTTGTCGATCAAACCTTGACCGCTTCCTCCATAGCCGCAACCTCCATTTTCTTGTACACAAAAGCTTTTGCGGCGTAGACATAAATGCAGAAGTTAACGGCGCCGAGACAGGCGAGAAGCCAGTAAAAGTAGTTGAGATGAGATCTGTTGAGGTTGTTGACGAGCCATTGGTGTCCGGATTTTGCGGTGACTCCTTGGACGATGGTGATGAGGACGCCGCTGAGGAAGTTTCCGACGCCGACGACGCTGAGGTACAGGGCGGCGCCGGTGCTGCGCATCTGGACGGGCATTTGGTCGTAGAAGAGCTCCTGGAGGCCGACGATGGTGAAGACGTCGCTGAGGCCGGTGAGGATGTACTGCGGCGCAATCCACCAGATCGTCATCGGGAGAGTGGCCGTGGGGGAGTCGAGGAGGCCGTTCTCCTCCGCGACGCGGAGGCGCTTGGTTTCCAGTACCCCGGCGACCACCATCGTGACGGTGGAGAAGAAGAGGCCGGCGCCGATTCGCTGGAGCACGGTGATGCCGGAGGGGAGGCCGGTGAGGTTCCTGGCGGCGGGGACGAGGACGCGGTCGTAGAGCGCGACGGAGACGAGGATAGTGATGCTGGTGACGACTTGGAAAGACGCCGGCGGGAAATGGAAGGAGCCGAGGGATCGGTCCAAGGTGGCGCCTTGCTTGGTGTAGAAAGTGCCCTGCTGGGCTATCACGGCGGCGAAGGTGAGGCAGCTCAGCCATATAGGGATGAGGCGGAGGAGGAGCTTCACTTCCTCCACCTGGCTCACGCTGCAAAGCCGCCATGGATTCCGTTTCTCGCTACAGGCGTCTGTGTCGTCTATGATTGTTGCCTTGTCTAGGAACCTTCAAAACTCCCCCAAAAAGTAAATTAGAATAATTAAATCAAACTTAATATGCCAAATACAATTTGATGCAATGGTGACATGTACAAGAATTAAATACAGCTTTTGTGTTCAATAATACATAATTGAATGAGGAAATTAAATCAATCGGAGCAGCAAACCAATGCATGCTTATTTCACAAGGGTTGGACAACATTCAATGACTTTAAATGCATGCATGTAAGATGCTTGCGGCCATCAAAATAGGCTTGGCCCGTCGACCTAGTCTGTCCCGTCAATTCATGTTGACAATACTAAAAGCACTGTCACGACCGACACGATAGTCAAGGCGCTAATGTATCTCTAGGAGCATGTGTAATCTAAGTAAATTGAGCCTAAATAGTCAAATTTAAAGCTCGATTTGAGTATTAAGATGCTCAAATCGAATTTAATTGAACATTCATCAAATCAAATTCAATGAACTCATGATCAAATAACTTGGCTCATTTACACCCCTACATGGTTACATAAATAAACTTATACAATGGACTATAGAAAAATAACTATACAATGGACTTAGTAAGCATGCACAACACATTTGAATTAATAATAGCGAACCATTCTCCACAACTTTTTATTATTTTACAAATACTCTAAGTTAACCAACCCCGTTCCTGTCAAGTCAGCATTATAATAAATAGTAAAATCCCACTGAATATTAAGAAGTGAATGATTTTATCACACCCTAAGTCCTAGCAAAGTAGGAAACACATAGCTATGTTCTTACTACATACATAATCTTGCGCGGATCTCTTATGTATAATTTCATATATGACACCTCAAAACAATCTGTTAAAACATCATTCTCTATGGCTGTAGCATCATATCGCACTAATGACTTTATGATGGACCAAAGTTGGTGCATGCATTTTAGTGATAAAAAATAATTGTGAAAAGCATTACGTAGAGGCTAGCTATACTATAACGTAGCATATATAGCCCTGCCATGCGGAATATAATATAATATAATTATTATTATTCCTAAATGTTCTTCATCGTCCAGTAATAATAATATCGTACCTCGCTCGACGATCCAAATGTAAGACTGCAGTGTCGGCAAGCTTCACCAGATAGATGCTACTAGCTAGCTAGCTAGGTATATCTTTCAGATATATTATTATTTAATTTGATATGTCTAATCTCTAGGGAATATAATCAGCCTACCAAGATGAAGTAATAGTAGTGTGTGTGTGTAGTGGAGTAGAAGACATGTGTGCACGAGCGGCCATCTCGTCCACGCTTTTGGCAGGCACCACCTTGTCTGTCCACCACCATTAATAGGGGTTGACTCTTGTGGGAAGGAGAGTGAGGTTGGAAGAATGGTAATTGGGGTTTTGTGGAGTGAAATTCAATTAAGATCACATATTTTAATTTTGTAACAATAAAAAGGGAAATGCAATGTGACCTACTTTTTTGATGCATGTATCAATTGTGATATGTTATGTCTATATAATAGGAGTAAAAAGTGACGGTACGATATTGGTTTCAACAGTCAAGAAGAGCGAGCACGGTTGTTTTTTTCTTTAAAAATTTTGTTGTGCCCCAGGCCTCGGCTACATGAAATGGAAGGGCGAGGATATTTTGGTCAAACATATTAAATGACCGAAATGAGGAAAAGATGTGGTTTATTCTATGCCACTAATAAAATTGAAAAAGATAAGGGCATTTTGGTCATATTAAATTGTCAAAATGAGAATAAAGAATACGTGGTTTCTTCTAAAACTCCCCCTCCACCCTCAATAAATTTTCTTTATTGTCACGGAATCTTATGCCTCTAACTTATAGCCTGAAAGGGGTGGCATAGTTAAACAGGTGGAATGAAATATGATACTCGTACTTAGAAAGTCACAAATTCAATTCTTGCTAACATACACCTTAGTTGAGCCCACCACACATTCACACATGGTCTGATCTTCTAATGCAGTTTACTTTCTTGTGTGATTTATAGACTACGTACTACACAAAAAGTATAACTTAGTACAAGACGCTAAGGTAGGTAATTTTTTTCCAAAATGGCTCGTCAATTTTCCTATTCTCATTTTGGATATAACAGTACAAAGTCTTGTCTTTATTTCCAGAGAGTTCAGAGCATTTGGAGGACAAGATGAATTTGAAGTGAGGAGACCTAATTAATGGGTCTCCCATTACATAACAACTAACCCCAATTAAATGATGAGTAGGAATAGTATAGCACAGCAACTAACCTATAGCATAACATCCAGGCTTATAAGGTCCAAGGGGGAATAATCATCATAAATACCAATAAATACATATATGATGGATGGATGGATGGATATGATGGTCTAATTAAATTCCAAGGCCAGTGCAGACACATATAATTATTTCATGTTTGACTATGCATGCCATAAAACTACCTCCCTGTTTTGCCGCCAAAAACACCAACCCTACAACCCAACATACACACACATACATTTGTACGTTCATATGTATCATGTGCGTGTATGTATAGATTTGTGTCTGTATGTCAACAAAGTACTGTTAATGTTGACTAGTGGGACTAACTAGAGTAGCATATTGTCGGCCTAAACCACAACTACACACTTGGTAGCCCAAAGATCCCCATGTTTAATGGTTAACAGTAAGTTTGGTGGGCCAATACTAGTTAAATTGGTCTGACAATTGCTTTAATAACTCTAAAATTTTAATTTCGACTAATTCTGAGAGCTACCCGTTAGCCTTCTTGATTGAGCCAGCCAACTATAAGCAACCTAAACTGGTTTACCTCACAAGGCAGGCTTCCCTTGCCTGTGAGCTGAGCTTTCTCGTAAATCAAAAGTAAGGTTAGTGTGTTTTGACAATAATAATAATAATAATTGTAAAC